AGGTTGGACACCCCTGCTCTAGTAGTTCCACCTTTGTCATGAAAGTTGGATGGGTGACCTTGCATGGAGGGTGTTGTAAAAGCAGAGGAAAGAAAGAAGTCGGGCAGGAGCGCCATGGCCAAAGCCAAAGAGGAAAAGAAGCAGGAGGCCAACAGACAATGTAGATCAAGGCTGGGAAACTATGTCCCTTTTATGACTTGTGGACTCCATAGGTCATAAAAGGGACATAGTTCCCCACCTCTGATTAAGACAGTAAGGAAGAGAGCTTAGCGGTGCCGCGTGGAAAGAGGAAGAAGCCTTTCCAAAGAGAGAGGAATTACTCCAGGCTCTTTTAAATTGCACGTGAGCAGTTCCAAACATTTTAGCTCTTGTCAGATTCACAGATGAGACATTTAGAGTTTAAAAACCCAGGTTCATTAGGGAATCCAGGGCACCAGGCTTGGCTAAAGAAACCCCACTCAAAAGAGTTACCGACTCACATTTCAACTTCACCAATGAGGGGTGCGGTGGCCTAAAGGTGGAGCTGTCGCCTCACCATCAGGAGGCTGTGAGTTCAATCCTAGGTAGAGGCAGATATTTCTCTTTCTGGGCACGCTGAGAATACCTCTGCTCAACAAAATTCTGCCTTGGTGACAGGAAGGGCATCCGGCCATTAAAACACACCCTGCTAGCTCCATTCAGTTGCTCAGATTCCACCCCGCAAGGGATTATGGGGTCATTAAAAGATGATGATTTCAACTTCACAAATGCACGCAGACAATTCAAGAAACACGATCTAGTGTTAGACAGCAGGGATCTCCTGGTCTTGTCAACCCATCCGGAAATATTCAAACAAGCTCTCTCTCCATCATAAAGAAATAATATTTATACATTAATCCAAAACTAACAGCGGCAATTATATTTGGGTTTGTCCTTCCTCAAAATTGGCAGAATGCTCGGTGAGGCAAATACCTAACCTTAGTCTTCCTTTGTTTCTTTAAAATAATTTTTTTTTCTCCTGCTAAAACTGGATGTGAAATATTATCATGGGGTTGGAGGGGACCTCAACCTCATAAATGCTGCAAAACCGCCTAACAAGCAAAACAGGTGGATGGCAGATCCAGTTACAAAAATGGGGAGCTCCCCTGCACTTCATGTGCTCCAGCAAGGAACAGACCAATGTGGACTTCAGCTCCAAGAAAGCTAAGCCATGGCCAGGGTAGCTAGGGAATTCTGGGAGTTGAAATCCCAGCTGTTGGCAAGAAAATTCTGGGAGTTGAAATCCAAGCATACTGACCAGGGAATTCTGGGAGTTGAAGTCCAAGCATGCTGGCTGGGGAATTCTGGGAGTTGAAATCCAAGCATGCTGGCTGGGGAATTCTGGGAGTTGAAGTCCAAGCATGCTGGCTGGGGAATTCTAAGTCCATATATCTTAAAGGTTGCCATGATTGGAAAATGCTGGACTAGACAGCCATTTGTTAAGGATATCTGAAGTTGGCTTTCTGTATTGACCAGGAAGCCAGATTCAATATCCCAAGGGGCCTTTTCCAAAGTCTAGTGTTTTAAGAACCATTTTTGTGGATTCAAAAAACTCAGAGCAACAAAGGTAGCATTTAATACAGAACCGAGAAGCGACCAGGGGTTTCACCAGTACAATTTAACGGGTCCAGTCAAACTACCTCCACAGAATCTGCTCAAGCAGCACGCAATCTTGGGGTGCGTTTGTCCGTCCTTTCACACATGCATTGAAGGACAGCAACATAAATTAACACCTTGCATGAAGAACCTGATTGGAAAAGAAGTCTGGTATCCCACTTAAATCACATCCAACACAACACTTTTCAGTGGACGCCCACACGTGCGGGAAATCAAGTACTATTGAATAACCAAAGCAAGAAGTCCAATTTCCCCCAAGCCTGCCTTGGTTTCATACTATGTTGATGGTGGATCTTGTATGTATTCATACTTGTATTCATACTGTCAGGAAATGTCTCCTTGTGATGACCCCGGGGTGTGACACAAAAATAACAAAGTCACAAAAGTAGAACAAATTCCCTTGAATGCCTCCAACTTGGCCCCCAATGTCCAATTATCCTTGGCTGGAGATCAAACTCTTCCAAAAAACAGTCTATGAAGGAAAGAAATGCAGTCTGAACCCAAAGTAAAGATAATTAGAAATAAAAAAAAAACAACACAAACCATGCTGAAGTCATTAACACGGCAGGCCAGGATGATAAATTGCAGACTTCCAAAAGATAACGCAACACCCACAGTTGGGAGGACACCAAAACCCAGATAAGCCTCAACAAAGATAATGCAAGCTTTGCTTCCAGCAAGGAGCTGTGTGCAAACGCCCCTCTTATATCCTGTTCTCCCAGCTGCAACTAATGAAAGGGATCAGGGCCTTTTTCTCTCCCGAAAGCCATGTTGCTCCCTTCTCCTTCCTCCCTGCGTGCCCTAGGATGAAGAGGGGGTGGCCCTGGGTCTTCCTCTGAAGGCCCAGCCAGACTGTGCCCTTCCCTCGTTTCTTCCACAGCCACCGGAGCCACACTCCCACTCCCTGTCAGCTGCTCAATCTCCCCCTCAGAATCAGACTCCAACAAGGGCATGACACTCCTTAATTCTAGGTTGGGACCCTCTTTAACTAGCTTCCATTCATTACTTCTTAACGTGCCCTCAGTGGTAGAGAAAAAGTCAGTCCTCTCTTCCTTGTTAACAGCTCAAGTACTGGAAACCTGCCATCAGAGTAATAACAGAATAAACGGTAACAGAATAGCAGAATTGAAAGGGACTTTGGAGGTCTTGAAGTCCAAACCCCTGCTCTGGAAAGAAACCCTATACCATTTCAAGTCCTTCTCTTTAGTTTAGCTGGTGTAGTATGTCATGGGAAGTCATTGTAAATGAGAGTGGATGGCTTAGCACAGCATACAAACCCAGCCAACCGTGTCTGTTAACAACTGTGTCTGTTAACAAACTACATATGATAGCTTGGCTGGTTTCACCTACCATGCTAAATCAAAAATCAAGCAGGCCCTTATATGGCTCAGGGAGAAGGATGAACCCATTGCAGAAACATCTTGAAAAAGACATATATCTCTACCAGGCACGAGGTCTTGGAACCAAGCTAATTTAGCCCATTTCTGGATGAATGCAGGGAGTGCAAAGAAGAGCCACAAAGACGATTAGGGCACTGGAGGCTAAAACATATCAAGAACAGTTGCTGGAATTGGGGATGTCTAGTTTAATGAAAAGACATGATAGTAGTATTCCAATATTTGAGGAACTGCCACAAAGAAGAGGGGGCAACCTATTCTTGAAAACACCTGAAGGCAGGACAAGAAGCAACAGGTGGAAACTAATCAAGGTGAGAAGCAACCTGGAATTAAGGAGAAATTTCCTGCCAGCGAGGACGATTAACCAGTGGAACACTTTGCCTCCAGAAGTTGTGGGAGCTTCATCCCTGGAGGTTTTCAAGAAGAGATTTGGATTGACCATTTGTCTGAAATGATATCGGCCAAGGGTCTTCCAACATGGCAAGTTTAAGACGGGTGGACTTCAATGCCCAGAATTCCTGAGCTAACATGACTGGATGAGGAATTCTGGGACTTGGCGTCCACAAGTCTTAAAGCTGTCAAGTTTGAAGACCCCCTGGTATAGGATCTCCTGTCTCATGCCCCTGTTGGAATCTGATTCTGAGGGGGAGGTTGAGCAGCTGACTGGGAGTGTGGCTCCGGTGGCTGTGGAAGAAACTGGGGAAGGGCACAGTCCGGCTGGGCATTCAGAGGAAGACCCAGGACCATTTCATCCTAGGGCACACAGGGAGGAATGGAGAAGGGAGCAACGTGAGTTACATGGGTTATGGGGGAGAAAAGGGCCCTGATTCCCTTCATTAGCTGCAGCTGGGAAAACAGGATTTAAAAAGGGCATTTGCACACAGCACCTTGCAAAGCGTGAATTATCTTTGTCAAGTCTTATCTGGGTTCTGGCATCCTCGCAACTGTGTGTGTTTCGTTATCTTTTGGAAGTCTGCAATTCCTTATCCTGCCCTGTCTCATTAATTGCTGCAGCATGGTTTGTGTTGGTTTCTATTTATAATTTATATGTACTTTGGGTTCAGACCGAATTTCTTCCCTTTAAAAGCTGTTCTTGGGAGATTTTTTTTTTTCTCCAGCCGATGATAACTGAACATTGGAGGCCAAGTTGGAGGAATTAAAGGGCCTTGACCTACTTTTTGTGACTTCGTTGCTTTTGTGCCATGCCCCTTTGGGTCATCGCATCCTGCTTGAGCAGGGGGTTGGACTAGAAGATCTCCAAGGTCCCTGTTATTCTGAATAAGGAATGAGAGGATTCGAGTAGTTTGGAAGAAGAATTCCAACAGGACTTGGAATGACAGGTGACAGCTCTTTCAAGGTTTAGCAGAAACAGCTTTGACCGAACTAGAGAAGGTAAACCATACCTAAGACCTGTATCTTTATATCCCCTTTTCCGTCCACCGAAGGTCCATTCATGGTGACCACGTAGGTTCCAGTGTCGTCCAAACGTAATTTTTTAATGAGCAGAGAGCAGCCGAAGCCTCCAACTTCACGCCCGGTGTAGAAAGGCCCAGTGGTGTTTCCAGCTAATGGCGGTAGGTAGAGAGTAACAATCAGGTGTTCTTTCGTATCGATCTCTCGGTACCAGTTGCACAGAGCAAAGTTGGTGGTGGGGTATTCGAGTGTCAGATTGACAGTCTGCCCTTCTAATGTCTCTGGTGGATTCCTGGAGATCGAGATGTTGTAAAAGGTTGTGGTACTTAGTTGGCCCTGAGCCAACAGGAAGGAAGAACTGAGGATGGAAGCTAGAAAGTAGAAGGGGGGGAAAAAGGAGGGGAAAAAAAGCTCATTTCAAGCAAAACGATCCATTTTGTCCACATCACAGTTATATCCTCAAAAGAATGTTTCTCCTTGAAGACGTTTTGCTTCTCGTCTGAGAAGTTTCTTCAGTTCTTCAGAAGAGAAGAGTTCTTCAGCACTGAAGAAGCTTCTTGGATGAGAAGCGAAACATCTTCAAAATTTAAGCCTAACAGTCACGGCGAGGAACACCATAAAGATGCGAAGGAAGGCAGCCATCTCTCTAAATATTCGTTAGAAAATTATGAAATATAAAAATTTGAAAAAAAAAAATTAAAAATAAGAAAAAATGATAGGGGAGCTTATTTATTTCACCCAGTATAACAAAATGCAACATAGTGCATAAGACATAGCAAATGTGTATCAAATAGTTGAGGGAAAGGATCTAAAATCCAGTGTATTTCCCCTCCACCCCCAATCTTCTTTTCACAATAGATTCCTTCCTCCTGGTCGTTTCCAAATATGGTGGAACTTAATTCCTGCAACTCATCACGTTCCCAGGGCTAAGATTTCTGGAAATTGAACCAGGGGGGAAATGAGACTGTAGCCTGTTTATACTGTATCCATCTTTGACAATTATTTTCAAGAAAGCCTAGTCAAATGTTTCACTTTCACACAGGGGGTTTTTCCTAGAAAAGAGATCAGTAGATCTAGTTCTAAATTTTATCTGGGATTAGAATTTGCGGAGAAGATTCTACATTGAATGTTCAGGATTTTCTATGTTTGTTGTTATAAAATTGGCTTGTACTAATTGTACAATTGTATTACTAATTGTAATTGTATTACTAATTGTAATAATTATATTATATAAGAGTAAATTTTTTAAAAATTTGTTACCATATTCTACTGCACAAAAATCAGTTGGAAATCCATACCTTTTAATTCTCTCCCCCCTCTTCCCTACACATTTCTCTCTTCCCCCCTTTCCTCCCTTATTTGAGCGTTTTATTTTCATTTTTCCTTCGTATTCCTGAGTTTTATATTTTGATCAACTGATAAACCTTTTGAAATTAAAAAAACAACCACAATGTTCAGGATTTTCCTTGATAGAACACTCGGATGCTTGAAAACAAAACCATGACGTTGGTTTTCTGCTACACACAATTAACAGATACTCACGTCTACGGAGTAGAAAATCTATACTTTTGGATTTGCTAATACTTTTTTTTTAATGCCTTCAGGAACAATGGCTAAAAATGGGTGCTAGGTTCATTCTTTGAATGGCTGGCTTCAAATAGACCAGGGTAAGAATTCTCTCTCTCTCTCTCTCTCTCTCTCTCTCTCTCTCTCTCTCTCTCT